AGCCACATGGCGATCCTGATCGCACGGTCAGCAGCATATGGCACTTGGTCGGACCTAGCTCGGCCTGGCCCGGTCTGGCCCGGCCTGGCCTGGCCTGGCCTGGTGCTAATGAAGCCCAGCCACATTGGGCCCGGCTCGATAATCGTTTAATCGCTTATCACAAATTGCGTCCAGTTGGGGCGAGCTGTGCTATCGGTTCCACATTAACCACAATTAGAGTGACCATGCCTCGGCAATTAATTTCACTTCAGTTAATGTTAATTGACGTGGCCGCCTGCCCACGGCACAGTGGAACCAGCGCAATATACAAGTCTTACCAAAAGTATTTTCTTAAGCACATTACAACATATTTTATTTATTGACTGAGCTGATAAAAGTTGGCTTTGCGCTTGTCAAACTGGGACCATCTTGGTCGCTTAAGGGTTTTCACTTAGTTTCCACGCTTTTGGGTGAATTGCCCAGCTAGTTTTCTATACATCATTGTGTTTGGCTGGATTACATATATGGGCACTTTTCAAGTCATGAATAAACCAAATTTTATTTAAGTTTTTAAAAAGAAGAAACAATTTTTGCAACACAATTTAAATGGTTTGAAATGCAATCACATTTGAAACCACATTGTAAACATTTCAACTCTAGCTTCAAATTATTTCAAGGCCTTACATTTTGATAATTGATAACCTAGGTTTGTTTGCAAACCACGAGGAAAATACAAATTGAAATTGAAAAAAGAATTTATTATATATTTCCAACAAAATCTTAAATATTTGCGCACAAAAATAAGTGAATTTATTTTATTGATCTTTGTATTAATATCGTGTATATTTCTTATAGTTCTCTTATGTACACATTTGTTATTTTATCGTTTTTTTAGTGCCCGTAAATTTGGTCACATTTTGGCTAATGCTGCAACCACTGTGCAAGTGCATGGCTATCGCAGTTTTCAATCAACAAACTCGTAAATTTGCCAATTGCTGACGAAACTAAAAGCTCTCAAATTACGAATACCCTGTACTAGTTGATAAACAAAAAAAAAAAAAACAGATCGCGGACACGCACAGTGGTCAGCATCATTGTTCAATTTTTGTGTGCGTGTGTGTGTGTGTGTAGTTGTTGTTTTTTTCTGTATTTTTTTTCGCGTTGTCACCTTGTTGGCGAGCGCTTGCCTGGGCCTTGGTAAAAAGGTTGAGGCAAGGGCAAAGCCAAAGGCAAAGGCAAAGGCAAACAAAAAGGATGCGCCAATGTGGCTGGCAAAACAATGAAATTGTGAAATTTTTGTTGGGTTCAAAGAATGTCATGAGCATTTTATGATTTAATCCCCTTTGTGTGAAGCCAAACATTTGCAGGATCAGGCTGAAGTGTGTGTGCCTCTCTCTCTGTGTGTGTGTGTGTGTGTGTGAGGGCTCTTGAAACGTAAACACCCCCGAAAAATAAAGGACAGGATTTGTCATTTGTCGCCGTTGCCGTTGCCGCAGCAGACACTTGACTGCGGCTCGGCTCAGACACCTGACATCAGCGATTAGTGCCGCGGCCAAGTGGCCAAGAAGAGGACAAGGGATCTGTTAGGGCAAGCGGACAGGCGTAGGCGATCACCGATCGCCGATGCCGGCCAAGTCAAATGTGATTTAGTTTTGACGTCAATGCGGCAACGGCTGCCTCCCTGCCACATAGATGCTATCTGGCCCGGGATCGGAAATACAAATGCCCCGAGTCATCAGCTGCAACGGTGGAAGAACAGAGCAACAACAACTGCAACTGAGGCCAGCCACAAGTCGACACGAACTTGGACGCTGACTGGGACTAGGGTTGGGTTTGGGCCAAAAGTCCTCTGCCCAGTTGGCTTGGCTTGGATTCGATGATTGAGCTGATAGCTGTGCAGCTTTGCAGCTGCATTGTTGCCAATGTGCGTACTTATGAGTACGTTGATTCATGCAAAGCGCAGTGCGCGAAAGTACACTCCAATGAAATTCCCTAACATGTGTGAATATTTATGTTAACATAAAATAACGAGCATGCGGGTTCAATTATCAGGCTAGTAAGACGTAAGGTAGATAATGATAATGAAAACAATTGAAAATATTAATAACAAATTATGAAAATAATAATAAGAAGAATGATGATGATAATGATATTAATAATAAAAATAATATTGATATACAAGCAACAAATATAATAATAATAAAAATAATAGTTGTGATGATAATAGTATAGAACAAAATAATACAAAATTAAGATAATAATAATAAAAACAATTTAAAAAATAATTGAAAATATTAATAAAAAAAAATGATCATAATAATAATGAAAATAATACTGAAAACAAACAAGAATAATAATGATGACAATAATATTAATAATAATTACAATAATATTTATAATAAAAATAGTAATTATTATCATAGCAATAATTAAAAAATAATATAACATAATTATAATTAATAACAAGAACAATTATGATGATAATAATATTATAATTATAATGATAATACTAATAGTAATAATAATAAAAGGAATAATATTAGTGAAGAATCTCAATAATGACAATAATAATAACTTTGATAATGATAATAATACTGATAATTATTATGCATATATATTTAAATTCTGTTAAATGAAGTTCCCTCAATGCATGAGAACTCGATTATACAGTTGGCCAAGATACAAATATGTATTTCGCAGTACGCAGTAGCTGTATCTGTGAGTTTGGGATCGTGAGAACTGCACTTAATTGATTTCCACATGACTTTGGCATAGTTCAAGTTCTACGCATGAGCGTCACAAATCCGATGTAATCTCCGAGTTAGGATTGAGCACAGTTTCAGCTCAGCTCGGCTCAGTTCAGTTCAATTCAGTTCAATTCAGTTGGGCTTAGTTAGTTCGGTAGATAAAGCTCGGCTTGAAAAGTCTTTGAGAAAGTCTTTTCGAAACGTAAAGCTCCAGTGTGTGTGTGTGTGTGTGTGTGTTCGAGTAGAGCAAAGCGAATCTCTTTGCCATCTGCTGGGGCTCAGGAGACGCTAGTTCAACCAATAACTGCCTCAGCTTCCTATGTATTCCCTTTGTTTTCTCTAGACACGTATGTGTGTGTGTGTGTCTCTGTGTGTGTGCGTGTGTGTGTGTGTGTGTGTGTTATCGCAAAGACCAAGCTCTTGGCCTGCGGCATGTTGCTGCAATTTTTCATTATTCGTACTCTTTAAGTGATCGATCGAAATTAAATAAGAAAAGTAAGCAACGAGAAAGGAGGAGGAAAATGCCCTGGCGATTGCCTGGCGTCCCACAAAAAGGGAACCAGCGATCAGCTTCCCCCATACCCCCCCCCCCCCCCCCCCTTCCCTCTCCCCCACCACAAAGCACCTTCAACATTTCGAGTCTGACTCCGACTCCGACTCTGACCGTGATTCTGGCTGGTGCTGGAGCTGGGGCTGTGGCTGCGGCTGCGGCTGCTTGGGGAATGCGATGGTTAATGTGCGTTTAGATACGAAGACATGTAATTTTCCCAGCCCCATTGCGATCGGTCGCACAGCCAGCCGTCCAATTGTCTGACTCTGACTGCGACTCCAACTTCAACTCCAACTCCGAGTCTGACTCCGACTCCGACTCTGACCATAGCTGGACCATAGCCAGGCTTGGCCAGCCAGTCAGTCGCTGGCACTGTGGGCCGTGCCAGCTTATTGGCCCCCGACCCTCTTTGCCGTTTTCTCTCTCGCTTTTTTATATTTGGCCTGGACAGTTGTCAATGGGGCAGATCACAACAGCCTCCAATGCAGCTGGGCATAGGAGCACGCCTCGGGAACTGCCTGCAACTGGCTGCAATCGTGCTCTGACGTCCTCTGATTATGATGCCAATGCTAGCCATATGCTATATTGCCATATTGCTGCATTTGGTGTCTGCCGTTTGGAACTCGATTCTTATTACACGCCGGCTACTGCATTGGGGACATAGATTTGCCAGCTTAAAGGAGATGCACGCAAGCTGCATTCGGGCTCAACATTATCATCATCATTGCCAACATTATCGTCATCGTAGTCATCGTCATTTCTGTTTCCTTTGATACCACCTGCACACGCACCTGTTAAATGTGCTTAAGTGCAAGACTTTTTCTATTCATACTTTAAATTTATTCAAAATTAATTGGGGTCCAGTTGTCCAAAGAAATATTTTAATTTATTTGATGTCTGGTTTTGGCAGCGAGAGTACTTTTAATTACAACTTGGGGAGGTTTCTTTACAAGCGAACTTCTTCGTTCTGATGTTGTACTTATTTCCCGGATATTACTCGAAATGTCAGCAATAATATTATTATTTTTTGTATATATACAAGTTTTGACCTTCAAAAGTCCTTCGAATATTGCCCAAATTTGATTTGAAAATATTTCAACGGTCACATTGATTAATCTAGGGATCTATTTTACAACTACATAAGCAAAGTTTAAATAATTGTTCCAGTTCCAGTTCCAATGAAAATAAATACATTTACTTAAAACGGTCACACTGAACAAGAATAAAGAGTTGCTTATTAATATCAATGTAGGATCGTGTAGCTCTTAGATATGTCACAGAAGTCTCTCATTGACATTTGAGCTTAATCGGAATCGGTGCATGGTTTAATTGACCTTCCGTGCTGTTATCTCATTTGAGTTTAATGGAAACGGTCACACTGATCGCCTGATTTGGTAGCTGTCTCAGTTCTTGGTTTGCTGTCTTATGACAGTTATTTTTTTTATATTTATTGTGCTTGCCTTGTGTTGGAGGCTCTGTTTAATTAACGAATGCATCAAGAGATCTGCACAGCATCGCCGCATGTTGGGCCCGATTCACACATTGCCTGGTGGCTGTTGGGCTCCATGGGCTCCATGGGCTGCATGGGCTGCATGGGCTGCCCAACTTTCCCATTGCCGGCTGGCCAGCTGAGGCGTTCGAATAGACACAAACTGCAGCGTAAATTGTTTACAATTCGAAAAATTGTTGCCGCCTCTGTTATCTGTGGGCACATCTTAACGAACACGCAGCTCCAGAGCGGCTCCCAGCAGCCGAGTCGAGGAGGTCCCCATCTTCATCTTTATCCCCAAGCGTACCCATCACATGGCCCATAACCAAACTGAACTGCTCCGAACCATCTCGTGGTCAGCGTTCTGTTTGGTTCGACTGTTGGTTAATTTGGCATCATTCATCGTGGCCAAAGCCAAATGTCATGCAATGGCTAAAGCTCCGCTTCGCTAATTACAGCCTCTTGTTTGTCTCTGTGTGTGTGCGTGTGTGTGTGTGTGTGTGGCAAGTGCGGCAATAGAAGCTCTGCGGAGTCCTCACGTGACACTACATCACGCAGCGTGCTAGATCGAATGCAATTGATCACCGCAAGCAACCTGGGTGTCATTCTTATCGAGTTTGGCCTGTTTCTTGGCCCTCGCAGACACCTCCTCCTTCTCCAATTGCCACCAGCGCTGGCATTGTTCATGTCAATAGTTGGCTTGCAGCGCGATCAAGCAAAACGCATTTCCATTTCGAGGTTAGAATAATTTTATGGACAAGTTGAGGATCGCACAATTCACATACGAAGCCCAAAACTGGGCAGCTTTTAAATGGGAATACGAGAATTCAAATACGATCTAGCTGCGGCAGGGGTCGAATGCAGGGCCAGGAATGTTCTAAAGTCAGCATTTGTTGGCCAGGATCCATAGGAAGCAGAAATTGATGAACTATGGACTGACTCTCTGTGGGAGATATGGCTTAGGCTCCTCTCTGGGTATTAAAGAGACTATCAAGCTCCTCTCTGGGTATTTGAGAGACTTTCCTGAGTCCTCTCTGGGTATTAAAGAGGCTATTAGGCTCCTCTCTGGGTATTTGAGAGTCTTTCCTGAGTCCTCTCTGGGTATTAAAGAGAGTATCAAGCTCCTCTCTGGGTATTTGAGAAACTTTCCAGAGTCCTCTCTGGGTATTTAAGAGACTATTAGGCTCCTCTCGGGAAACTTCAGAGACTGTCAGACTCCTCTTGGTGGAATTTAAGAGACTATCAGGCTCCTCTCTGGGTATTTAGCATGGAATTTTGGTCTATTAGATACTTGAACGTAAGGAGATGATTCAGTTCTTGCATTAAAGATAAAGTTGATATCGTTTCCTCAGGTTATATTGGAAGGAATCCAGCAGCTAGGCAAATATATACTTTTCCATAGGGCACAATTGACATAGATCTCTTGTTATAACTTTTTTCCTGCTTCTCGTCATAATTTTCTTTTAAATATCTGAATATTCATAGATGAATATCTATAAAAAATAGATTGATTGCAAACCAAGAAGCAGCTATGGAATGTTTTTTTTTTGTTTTTTGCTGGCAGCCAATCATTGAGAATCCAGCCAAGAGACAGGTCTCTGCAGGCACTGCTGTTGAGGAATTATGAAATTGCATGGGTGAATATGTATATTTTGTTTGCCTAGAAGGCTAAAACTGTTGCGAAGAAAACAAGTTACGAATTTAATCATAACTGCGAATCACTGACCCATTAAGTTGATGAGATCACCCGAACTGATCCACTTTGCGGCTCTGTTGACATTTGTGGCCAGTTTCTGTGGCCAGTTGCTTGGAGTGGCCTAGAGTGGTGTCGTGGTGTCGTGGTGTGTGGAGTGGATCGCTGGCCCGGCTCGCATAATATGAGTATATGCAATCGCCGGAGGTGGAAAACAACAAAGAGATCTGTGCGCGACAACAACAGCAACAACAACAACAACAGCGACAACAACGGCGACGGCGACGGTGACGGTTGTCGACGGTGGCGTTTGCGTGTCAAGCGACATCATTTGCATAACAATGCTGGGGACGATTCAAAATTTTTGGTCTCCCAGAGCAATTTTCAGACACACACACACACACACACACACAGCACACCTAGAGACAAACACAGAGAGAGAGAGCGAGAGGGAGAGGGAGGTAGAGACGCCCTCTGGCACCTGCTCGTACACACATTCAGATATCAACGAGCACATTAATGATTTTCAGTTGAAGTCGCCGTCGTCACAAATCGCTGGCAAATACCTGCACACACGCGTATGCATATGACATTATCCAAGACGACGCCCAAGACACACTCGCACACTCGCACACACATAGGCACACAGACACGCCTACCCGCCCGGCAAGCTTGTTGTGCACCCCAAAGATCTTCAGCTGCGTTTGGATTGCGTCGCCAATGCGGAACGGAACGGATCGCTGCGGCGTGTTGTCAGAGTGTTGGAATCGCGATCCGAGAGCCGTTCAGCCAGCTGAGCGCTGAGCGCTGAGAGCGGGGCCAGGTCTAGCGACCGGGCTGGCCCGATCTGGCCAACCCAGCTGTTGAATAATTTATGCGCCACTGTTGTCAGCGGCACCTCCTCCAACTTCAGCTCGAACTCTACAGCAGCAGCAGCAGCAGCAACAACGACAACAACAGCAATAGCAACAACAACAACAACATTCGCAAAGCCCATCCATAGCATTGGCAATGTCGCGACGTTGCGTCGCTTTTCACGTAACCCCGCAGCTCGGGGAGAATTATTTGCGTTCGCCTCCTTGCGTTTCTAATTAAGCAAGAGAAATATTCAAAAACTTTGCCATTGTTTCAGCGATTTTCAAGTTCAATTTACATAACATTCCTAACCGCGCCGTCGCATCGCGTCGCATCACGTCGCATCGTTTTAAATACATATTTTTTCTTTCCATTTCATACAAACAGCTCACCAACTATATAGATGCATATTTATATATACATATATATATAGCGTATATATGTTTTTCTTCCAGTTGTTATTAAAGTCACAGCCTTGAATTGATAATCTGTTCGGCAATGCAAAAGGTTCAAGGCCAGCGTCGCCCTGGTGAAAGGTCACGATTGCAATTGTGTTGCTGCTGTTGTATCTGATGGATACGTGAATTCTTGTCTGTTTAGTGCTGGCTCCTAAGTTGCTTTCGCTTATGATAATGCAGGAAATTACGCATCGGTTTCATAATTGAGCCGAATGCACAGCTCGTAGTCAATGTGTTAATCCTGCAGAGCATCCGATCCGGGGCAGCTGTTGGACTCAGCCATGCCATGGGATTCAGCTTCAGCTTCAGCTACGACTGCTGTTTGACGCTTCGTTCGATCGCATTTCCCAGCGAGATGAAAAGAGAGACCAAGAGAGTGAGCGAGTGAGAGAGAGAGAGTGAGAGAGACCCTTTTCCCTTTTTCTCGGCTCTGCTGATCGCCATTTTCCAAGAACAAAAGCAGCGCAAAATATGATCTTATTTAACGCTGGATGAGTTTTCTTTTTGTTCAGACTCGATTTACATTTGGCATTGTGTAATGAATGTGAATATGCCTGTGAATGTATTTGTGAATGTGAATATGGCGAATGAAAATGCTGTTGGGCAATGCGAACAGTTTTGCGACCAATTTTATGTTCTATAAATCAATCGATTGATTTCGTTTAGTTTTGTAAATATTCAGAAATATCTCTCAAATACAAAATATATTTGCATAAGTATCTACCTATAGGATAATTTAGAGTATCTTATGCATGCATTAAAGTTTTCTAGTTTTCTTAAAAGATTCTCGAGCACAATTGTCTAATACATAAAATACTCTATTGAGCTATAAATGCTTTCTACTGACAAATAATTATAACTTTTCTTACTAATTTCTTATAGGTGCATATTACAATTACGAACATAACATTATAAGTATTCAATCATTGCCAGCTAAACGTTAGCGAATAGCGCTCAAAGAAGAATTGACAAAAATGATATGCTCATGAGAGAGCAAGCGCAAGAAATGCTCGCTAATGGATTCTAAATGAGTATCGACGTCATCAACAGATAATTCGGGTAAGATTTAGAATTTATTTTCGAAACTGTCTCAAATGAATACAGATGTCAGTGGTAGAACATCAAGCCCAAGTACTTAGCAATTGTTTGACGCTTGCCGCTTGCCGCTTGTGTTTCGCGTATCCTGGCCAAACAATTGGCTGGCTGCTTCAATCGAGGAAGCAACTGTCTCGATTCCCAAATGATGGGCTAAGTGGCGGGCGCGATGAGGCTGCGTTGATGCAATGAATAGACAGCTAGGCGGCCGGTATCATAAATGATAATAATTTCTGTAAATAAATATTGTGTAATCATTGCCTGACGCCATTATCAAGACATAGATGTGCCCGACCCCTATTGCTGGGCTGATTCCCGTCTCCGGGCTGATTGCTGCTTGCATTATTATGCTGTCATTTTTGGAAATAGAAATCCCAATGCTCGCGATCCGCTGCGACAGGCTACATGACGAGCATGATATTGAAGACATGGCCAGGGCCATCTGCTTGGCTCAGGACAGCATGGAGGACGCGACGTCCTCCTCAGACTCGTCCTGCCACTCAGTATTTGTACAGGCGAGCATTGTGCCTACGCACATTTGCGCATTGTGTGTGCATTGGCATTGGCCTCCATTGTTTAGACACTTACGCAACATATTGTACATGGTCCTGGGCATGGCCATGGCCATAAGGGTCGTCCTCGTTCTCGGCCCGAGATCTCAGCTCGCAGGGTAAGCATTTGGTAAGGGTAGTCCAAATGTAGTTCACAGCAACAACATATCCTATCTGCGGTGGTTGTGCGCGCACTTTTCTGTTGTTGTTGCTGTTGTTGTTGTTCTTGTTTTTCTTCTCCTTTTTTTTTCCATTTGCTTTTTATCATCCTGGCAGCAGAATTCCCACAACTAAATACTTATAAGGTAATTGCCAGGCAAAGCGTATCTTTTCAAGTTCAGTACTTACCTAAGTAAATACGCGCGCGCGCGTGTGTGTGTGTGTGTGTGTGTGTGTGTGCCAGTGTGGGGGTGTGTGTGGGAGTTTATAAGAAAGCAGCCATTGCTCTAAGTAGATCTCGTTAGTGTTTTGTGGAAGCTCAGATTGAATTAAATGGATTACAGGGCACTAATAGGTATCAAAACTAAACGCTGTAATACCCTGTAAAAATCTCCACATTGCCAGAAATTGATTCAAGCTCAATTGGAGCTATTTAAATAGATCACAGGGTGAAATTTGTGTTCAAAAGACA